TTTAAGCACTGTGACGTCTAACATGGTTGGATTCTTCTCTATTCCTTTAGTTCCATGAGAGAACAATAATGCAGTTAATAAACTCATTTCAACTCGAGTGCAACGAGATTTGTTTGAAATAGAAATAGCATTTCGAGAAAATATTTCTTTCTGCATTTTATATTTTTTCAAATAAAACGCAATATGCTTCGCTCCCACGATTCTAGGAATATAAAGTTATTGGATTTTCACTTCAAATGATTTTTTCTGTAAAATTAAAGTTTATTGCAGTACCGTACAGTTGACAATTCAATTTTTGCTCTTCCGATGCTCTTCCAATGAAATTTACAGTACTTCAATATGAAAGTATATCAATGTTACATAACCAAAACTAAAAGACTAACTTCATCATTATTATCAAAAACCTTCGTGAATCTATCGGACATCTATCTTTTACAACATCACCGTTGATCGTTCTATTCTTACTTTATGATGATGAGTCAGGTCATGAACGAAAATGAATCTCAATATCAAACCATTGATTTATTATATTACAAAACTTTGATTACAGCACGAAGTTAAAAAAGATCGTTAGGTAATAATATTTTAGTACTAATCACAAAATTCATAAAAACAAAGTTTCTAAGATGCGCTAATAAATCTAATGAACACCTAGATTTACAGATAAAGTTCAACATTGTACTATAATAGTACCTAAGTAATTAAGAAGTTGTAATCCCAACCTTGATTCTGGTGCAAGGTCGCTGGCTAGTTATCGCAGTTACGTCTTGTTAAGCAACGTTAAGTCATATTAAGCAAGTAGGATATATGCTTCACAGCTTGTAAGGGTAATTGTTGACCGTGTCTTTGAGCTTGCTCTACTTTTTTGGATTTGCTTATTTTCTAAAAGACGACTTTAAGTATAATAATTGTAAAGTTTAAGGTTTTCATGGTTATTTATTTTAATTATAAATTTCTTACTACGGTATGAGTGCGTTTTAACCGACTTCAAAAAAGGAGGTTATACGTTGGGCTGTATTGTTTCCGATTTCTCCGTCAATTGTGGACTGGTTTTGAAAATTCTTTTTTGTTTGAAAGGGTATACTCTCGTAGTGGGTCCCTGATGCCTACGATGCTGTTTCGGATCTTGTGATGAAAGAGACTCAATCGTAGAAGGCGTTTTATAACGACTCGATTCTAAAATTAAGACTGGGGATTCGAGTTTTTATTAATAAGATTCAGTCGTTATACTAAAAGACTGAAAATACTTAAACGACTTGAAAGACTCAAAAGACTTAAACGACTCGACTTGTTTGCATGACAACGACAAAAAAAATTAAATTTACAAAGGAATCCGTAACAGTCCCATTCTCACCAAGAAGTCAGAATCTGATAAGGGGGTCCTAAATAATATTTGTATGACCTACATTTTTTTCTCTCGTGAGTTTGGGTGTAGTTTATAGATTTATAGTTTATAAAGGTATCTAAATATTTAGACACTACATGTAAATCATTTTAATACTTTGTAACCTTTGTAAAGAGATAATAAAGGTTTTTATTATTATTATTATTATTAGTTTTTGGTTGTCTATGTGTATGTCCACGGCACCCGCGATACAAGGTTTCCTTAGCTTAAAAAAAGTATGTCACATTTTTACTACCAATAAAGATGTGTTAAAGTGCATAAGAAATATGACATATATAGAGTTATCTACAGTGCCACATTACGCTCTTTAATATCCAACGATGACTGTCGGCAGATGCGACTGGATCGCCACTAACAGCTGTAGAAAACGCATTTGCTTTCGTAATATTGCACGCCGGATTACTAGCTAAATATAGGGCATTCTGTGCTACATATGCCATGCGAATGTAAGTAGGTCAGTAAAAGTGATCGAGACTTGCAGGGGAACTGAAAAATCCATCAATGTCATCAATTTTATAATTAAGTACGTAATTAGAGAGACAATAATGGATGTGTATTTAGTGGGGATGGATTTAGGAATAACGCAAATATAACTGGTAATCGTAAATTTTGATGCAGTTCCAACGTACATTGCTGGCAGATAAAGTTACACGGAAGCAGTTGAGGGTTAGTTACGCAACGTACGTTAAAGAAACAAAGAAAGACGGGGACAATACACATAAGAAATGTAGAGAAATGATAAAGAGATGAAATGAAAAGAAAAAACGTATAATGTTTCATGCCCTAATTTATTATTCATCGACGTTACGGGAAATACCTATTAGAGATATTGAAATTTACGGTACAAGGACTCTTCAATTTTGCCTGATATAAAAATGTTGTGCCTTTAATTCCCTTTCGCTATTTTTTTAATCGCTTCATATTTGATCAGTTCTTCTCAGTATAAGGGGTAAAAATATAACAGTTTCTCGAGTAATATCATCTAGGGATAAAAAATGTAACTGGAATAGTGTTATTTGAATAGTATTTGTTATAGACTAGCTAGTACACGCGACTTCGTATGCGTAAAATTTTGAATTAGTTTTATTGGACTTCCATACAAACGTCACCTATTTAAGACTTATTTTTGAGACAAAAAGTAGCCTATGTCCATCTCCTAGGTCCCATCTATCTCTAAACCAAAATTCATCAAAATTTGGTTTAGCGGTTTAGGCGTGATTAACGTTATAGAAAGACAGACAGAGTTACTTTCGCATTGATATGATAGTATGGATTGTAATAAATAATAATAAATCTTCTAATTCCAAAGTCTACGAAACTAGTTTATTGTCTAGACAATATGAAAGTGTGTAAATAATTAAGAAATTTGCAGAAAATGTGTTGATTACTGAGATTTTTTGTGAAATAACTCCATTAGTTTTGTTATGATTGATTATGATTCCATTGATTATGATTGCAAAGATCGAACACATCGAATTTTTTTAAGCGGCGACGAATGCCGAAAGTCAGTACCAAGATGTATAACAAAAACATATAGGAGAATTTCGACGACTGGGTAACTGGACACGTGGCTCAGATGGTTAGAGCAATGCTACGGTGCAGCATGGTCGTGGTTACAAGTCCCACCGGCTCGACGAAATTTTTCTGTGTGTTCAATCTTTGTATACGTAATCAATCTATTGTTTGTTTACTACAACAATCTTGCATTAGGCCTCTTTTCACATAAATATCAATTCATATTTACGTACAACCTTTTGGGCATCAATATCGATGTTTATTTTTTAGCAAAACGTGATACGAGAATATCGTACTCTGCATAATATCCATCACCACAGAAGTTTAAGCAAACACGCAATGTACAGTGACGCATCGTTGACGCATGTTTCGCGCGACCAGCGCTTCCTGTCACTGTTCTCTTTTAGCGTTCAATTCTGTATGTGAAAACACTGCTCTTATGCGAAATGAAGTGCAAATAGTTCTGCTTAATATCTAAAATGAGTAGGTACAGGTCATTCCTAGTTACTAATTAGTCATCAAATATAAACGGATCGTTAATTAATAAACAAATTTAGTAGCAATAGAGCTCATTGTAAAAGAGTTCGTCCAAGGAAGTACTGCCGTCTTAACTATTTCTGCCGCCAAGCTGTAATAAAAGCATTACTGCGTTCCGGTTTTGAAATTACAGGCACATGGGACTTGTCCGACTTGTCATTTATGTCGCAGGGTGACGGTCCAGTGGCAGTGCAACTCAGATCTTTCGCTTACCACCAGGCTTACTTAAGCATTTGTTCATTCCGCTTCTTGGAAAAAAACAAGTTTGTTAAATAATCTTTATTGTTCTCATATTCTCATGGCTGTGCGACACTGAGGGAAAGCAAACCTATATTTGTGAAAAAAAACCTATATTTTTATGAAGCCGGTCGAAACGGTCAATAATAAGAATAAATTCCTTCTAAATAACATAGTACCAATAAGCTATTAAAATGATAAAAGTTACAAGATAGATAGATCGCAACAAACATATGTAGGTATACTAATAAAAATACCTATACATATGTTTCTTGTGATTGTCTTTTTAACGGAAAATACGTAATTAGCAAGTTATAGTTCATGTGTAAAAAGAATATACACCTTGTCTTAATGTTTTTTATGACTTCTTTTACGTAATTATATCTCACAAATTGTTATTTTTCCGCTATAGATTGTTCCATCAAACATACAGTCAACCCAAATTAACCTAAGACACAATTAGAATTTAATACACATAGTAGGTTTATTGGTGTCTATATTCATGTGATAAACATATGAAAAACAATTACGTTTTTATACCACGACACGTACATTACAAGATGGATAAAATGAACATCAGTGCATCTCAATATTTTTCGCATAACCTATTTTACGAGTCTGGTATATAGGTGCCCTACAATACGAGCCTCGATTTTGCAAGGTTTCGCGGAAGGGGATGCCCCAGAATTACAGCTTATTTACTTTACGTGAACTAGGTCATTCTAACTTTGTGCTATTTAGTGTGAAATAGTTAGAGCTATTGCAAGTAATAAAACACACAGCTGTTTATTATGTATGTATATTGATAATAGATGACATAATTTAGATGTTGATTAATTTACAACTTAAATTTTTTAAGTTTATTGAATATCACGATGTCTTACTACTGTGATATTCAATTATTTTCAATTCAAGTCAGTGCAGTCAATATGGGTATGTAAATAACAAAGTGTTTTTGCGAAATAAGTATATCCTTGTGATGTTCTTGATAGTAGATGTTCAGGTTATGTATTATTATTGTAAAAAAATGTTAAAACACAAGAAAAACACAAATTTACGTCGCCCTTGGTTATCTGTTTAACGCCTAGAGTGATTCGTAACCGAGCGAGGTAATAATGATTCTTTATATGGTGTTGATACGCTCACACGAGCGTAATAAGGGTGCTAACAACCACAAGTTAACATGTCCTTTCAGTTGTAGGAACTACAACCGAGATCTCTAAGGTCATGCTGCATTGTTTTGTAAATAGTGCAGTACAAAATCAACACATGGCACCGTTCTAAAATTACGTTGTATTTTTTTCAGGTAGCCTCACACAAAATACGCAATCATGACCGTGGTAACGAATCCCGCCCGTAGCAACTCTGATGAGGAGATCGATCAAGATCTTCAAGATACTGGAGTCAATAGTCCAACCGGCGATATCGACTACCTCGATCCAGAGCGATACCAGGAGTATGAACCTGAACCGGACGACCCTAATCGCCTTTACGATGACGAGAAGCAGAGCGACATCGTTTTTGTGGCCGGTATTAACGGAGATACGTGGCGTTACCCAGGACATCGCCGCGTGCTCGCTGCCACTAGCCCTGTCTTCGCAGCTCTACTCTCCGCTAAAACTGACGTTATTGTTGTCGATTACGTCGACAGACGAGGCTTCGAGCAGCTTCTCCGGTATCACTACTGCGAGCCTACCCAACTCAACTCCGTAGGTACAGCTCGATGTGCTCTAGATGCTGCTTATAAATTCTTATGTCCTCCATTAGCGGAACGATGCGCACGTCGTCTTGACGAAATGCTGGACGCTGGGGTTGCCCTAGAAATTTTGAGAGATCTTCGCTATTTATGCGCAAGACTTCCAGGCGCAGCATCGGCTCCGCCGTTACCAGCTTTAACAAACGATGCGGCCGCTAGGTCCCTAGCACAGTGCTCGCGTTGGTGTGACTCCTTAGCTCACAATGCATTACTCGTTCTAGACGAAAATGCAGATGCAGCATTGACAGATGAGCGACTTGAAGAATTGACATACGAGGACCTAGCGCTAATAGTAAAGCGTGATTCTCTGCGCCTGTCTAGTGAACTAGTGCTAGCAGAAGCTTTGTCACGTTGGGCAACAGCTGCTTGTAAACGTACTAAAAGGGAACTGACCTCAGCCAATAAACGTGCTGCGTTGGGCGAGCTCGCTTATTGTCCAAGGTATTTGTTACTGTCAGGAGAGGAATTGGATCGTGCGCTTGGTTTAGAGCTTCTGGAGCCTATGGAAAGGGCTCTGGTAACAGCTCGCGCTAAAAAGTTGTCCGCTCCGATACCTGTTGGTGCTGATCAAGAATCGTTGCTCCGTCGATGGGCTAGACCACGCCCTATTGAGCCAGCTGCTCTTCCTGTACACCTTAGCCCTCGCTCTGAGCCCCCGCCAGAAGAGCCTCAGCCCAGCAAACTGTGTGCTCGTCGTCAGAAACGTCCGAAGCAGCCGTCTTTCAATCCAGATGAGAAAAACAAAAAAAGAGGATGCTGTGCTTGCTTCGGTGAGGGCTTGTTGCGTGCATTCATATGCCTGTTTGACTGAGAAAACGCAGCTGCAGCTGTAGAGGTAATGCCGGTTGCTGAAGACTATTATTTCAGGAATAATGAATACGTACCGCGTATATAAATGAGTAGTGTCATGAATTGTCTAGGAGAGTTGGTTTGGTGGTTTTGCGTAATGTAACGAGTGCGAGTAGGTATTCGTATTTGTGAGCTCCTCTAAATTTTCAACTATTCGCAAATGGAAACGGCTGCTCGTTAAGAGGTGGCAAACCGACTGATTGTATAGTCGGTTTGTATAAGCGTCTAGAATAGGTACTTTTTATTTAACAAAAATAATAGCAAAATTATACGTATACCTACTTATTATATAATAATACTGTGTATTATTACTTAAGATGGCGATAAAATTTGCCAGCATTTGTATTTTTTTACGAATTGCCGGAATCTCATTGGTAATTAATTACATTACAATCGATTGAAATTATATGTATAAAGCTTTATCAGTTTATTATTGAAGTTATCGCATAAAATTTAGTACAACAACGCTTCAAGGGAGCCAGGTAACATAAGACGGCAGCTGAAAGTTGTTTGTTTCATTTGTTTTTGAAACAAGAGGGAATTGTGAAGGGTTGAAATAGAAAATTATTGACACAATTGTCGTAGAGTTTGAATTGAGCCCGCGGCGCAGCTGCGTTAGTTAATATAATTGTGTAGTAGAACTTTTACGTGTCTAATTGTTGTGATACCAGTGTAACTATTGTATTACTTTGTTAAACTCATTTTTCGTATTTTAATTACTCAACGAATGAGTTTATTACATATCAAATTGTTCAACAATTTGCATTTAATAAATCTATTTGCTAAGCATTCGTGCACAAATATTTTTATTGTTTAGATGTAATTGTAGGTAAAATTTTGTTGCATTTATTATTGTCGTTGGGCAAAAGAAGCTTGTTATTTGATGTAATTGTTTTAGTCATATTATTAGGTGAAGTATTAAGTAAAACACTTCCATTTGTTTAAATACTTTGCTCCCTCTAGTCGTATATTAAGTACATTAATTTATGTCGAGGGTATTTATGATGAATTAGTACCTATTAGATTAAGTAACAACTCAAATATTAAATTAATGTCTATTCTTTCGCGATTGCTCAGTGCGGTAATTATCGAAAGTGTGTAAAGTCAATTGTGACTTGAGTAGTATACTAGTATTTGAAAATTCAATGTAGATACTTTCTTATAACAGACGTTCGTTGAACGGCACCTCTTAGCCTTTAAAACAATGTGTTCTTAAAATATAACAGTGTCAATAAAATTTTGCTAAAACTAATTTTATTATACCTACTCTTTGGACTGTGCCATATACTTATTAAAATCATTAATGCTCTTAACATTAGTAAGAAATATATGCATTACTTGTTTTTCAAGTTAGACGCTTTTTATGATATATTAGTTTATTACCAATTTACCTTTCTGCATAGTACGTTATAAACGATTAAGTGGTAATTAATTAAGATAAAAATCTATTGCATTATTTGCTGTACATTGATGAGTAAAGTTAAATGTATTTGATGTGTTCAGCTCACAGCTGTAATGTACATGAACTGAGAAAAATATATGATGTTCAATGTAACCTTGAATTTTATTTATTCGGGTGTAGTGCTTGCGTTTAAGCGCATCCTTACAATGTGTTGACAACCATGATGTGCAGCTTTAGGAATCTCTCTATGTATGGAACTAATGGAAATAAAGATAAAAATATTAAATTGATTCCCACTATTTCAATGTATGGAACTTTTGGGTTACAATTGTTTACGTGGAACTGAGAACATGGAACTATAAGGAATAAATCTTTTTCCTCTGTTGCCATTTTTTTTACATTATGTAGTCCACTTTACGTGTATGCATATTGCGTTAATTCTGCACGCGCTAAAAAAATAAAATAAATAAATAAAAAATAAAAAAGTATTTATTTCTCCACAAAACATAAAGAACATAATACTTACAAAACGAATAGAAAAAAAAACAATTGAGTGATGTGGACAAAAAGACTCAGCATTGCTGAAAAAGAAGAAGAAGCTGAAAAAGTCTATAATGGTTACATTTCGATCCCTGGATACAATTTAAAAGGAATGAGAATTGGGAATGAAACTATTTTTCGGATCTAAATCACGTATATTTGTGGTAATGATCGATTTTTCAAACAAATCGACGATTCGATTACTTAGACGCTGCGGTCATCAACTAATATGTCTAATATTAATACAAATCACCCAATTCTGAACTATAGTCATAAGAAATAAAAGAAATAGTAAGTACCCTATCGAGTTCTTAGGTTGTGATTGTTACACAAAGGAAATTGAAACTATTTTTCCGGAATGAAATTGCGAATATTTGTTTTTTTTTCAAATACGTTGAAAAAACAAATATACGCAATTTAAATCACGAATACTACCTTCTTCTTTCTTCTCTGCACACAATGGCCTACGTACTCTTGGACATAGAATTCTAGAAAAAAATGATTTCGTGTTACCCCGTAGTTAGTAGACGAGTTTGATCAAACATCGAAGGAAACTCTGCTACACAATTTTCAAAATTAACCTTGTTTTTTTGTAATTTCTACCGTAACACCGCAATCTCATCATCTGAAGGTGAGTGAAGATATGCACAAGGAGGATGGTACATGCTTCCATAGAAGTGTTTGCTTTGACCATAAAAACATCCAAGTAGTACAGCACACGGCTAGACCTTTCACTTTTTTTTTTTACACACCCCTTCAAAACTGGAACACAGCAATGCTCTCTTTACAGTTGGCGGCAGAAATAGGTAAGGTAGCAGTACTTCCCTTGAAGAATTCTTCCACAATTATTACATGTAATTGCCATGTACTAAGTAGGTATATGGTAATTACAGTAATACATGACTATGTTCATACAACAAGAAATAAAATACTGAAGTAGTTTTAGGGACAAATTTTATTGCAAACACGTAATAAATTAGTATCAAATTATAAACTACGGAATTGTTTAGAAGTTGTAGCATATAATTCATAACATAATCATAATAATATTTAAGAAAGAATAATATAACAATAATAAATAATCATGTTATAATTACTTTCCTAAATTGTACATATACTGATGATGACGCAAAAAAGATACATGTATAAATTCTAAACATTATTCCTCTAAAATTGACGCATCACAATAATCCAATAATCAGATTAAAAAATCATTACAAATATCTTTCTATATATTTTTCTTTCTTTCTATAAATAGATTTCATATTTATATTCGCTGGATCATATTAAAAATATTTGTGTATTTGTAGTAATGGAGTTATACTTTCTGTTTTCTCTAATGAATAAATTAACGTTGATATTTCAACCCCATCCAACAAAAAACGTTATTTAATTCAAGCCTGGCCATTTTTACTCGTAAAATCAATATTATTTTGTACGTAGTATTTTATCGTGACACACAATTGATCCAGTATGTGAGTTTACGCGACCCTATTCTTGTGGCTGTGTGGCAAAATATGGAACTAAAGATAAAATGACAAAATAGGGAGCCAAATTGAAAATCGGTCACGCATTAATCAGCCGCAAAGGAGAACACAATTCGCTAATAATGTAATTGTGAAATGCAGCTTACTTTTGTTTAGCTTTGTTACATTCCAGTTTATTGTCAATAAGCCACTTTACAAAACACTTCCATTTTGTAACGCCCCTAGCGTTTTGTAACGCGCTAGGGGCGCGGGTTTTGTAATCTAAAATATTATAACTCGGCTACTATATTATAAAGCGTCAAAATTCCTTATTGAAAAGTAAGTTCTGTAAAGTATAGTTAAAGTTGCAAATAAATGACTACGTAAGAATTCTTTAGACAATCAGTACCTTTCCGAGTGATTTGTAGGAATAAAAATGATTACGCGGATGTCATTACTCATTCCAACAGTAAAACATAAAGTAATAATACAGTCTCTTAAGAGCTAGAATTAGTAAATAAAAAAATATATAACTTGTGTCTATTATCCGCGTAACAAGGCGCTCGCCACTGATGGAGATGTGGAGGATGCAGTAGTGAAAACTTCGCCTATTTTTTCAACCCGTTGATTTAAAGTAAATAAAATATTCTCAACCCTAGTTAAATCCTTACGAAGTGACATAACAATGGATTGTGTCTCCAGCATTGAATTGATTTTGGCATCCACTTTTTCGAATTTTGCATTTATTGCGTCGCGTGAACTTTGGTTTTGGTCAATCTGTGGAGTTACATATTTTAGTCAGCAAAAGTAGTATTTTAGTATGTACAATTATAATATTTATGGTCGGTACAGTCATTGTGAAAATTATCTGACCGGTGTAACAACCCAAAAATATTCAATCGCTTTAAATTTATTCAGATAAATAGCAGTTTACTGGCCAACGAATAGAAAATAAATGGCGAGGCACTGACCTTGTTTAACATTATATCAGGGGTTCCCAAACTTATTTTGTCTACTGGCCACTTTGAGAATAAATTATTTTTTAGCGCCCCCATTTTTCCACCTACTTAAAAACCAGTATAACTTCAAATTAAATTAATTATTGTGAGCTATATTAGCTGAGATTAAACATTCATTCTAAACGAGACTTTTACTATAACCCGCAAGAGTTAACTTGAGACCTGAGCGTCGTTGTGTACTACCTACTGCGCTCCGGTCTCAAGTTAACTCTTACGGGATACACCTACCGATGAGAATATTTAGTGAAACGCAACTTTATAGTATTCAGACAGAGTATCTTTTATTCAAAATAAAACAAACATAATCGATTCTAATGTAAAAAACTAATGTGAAGGATGAATTTGATGCTGTTTAATAAGATTGTTGATATCAGGTTCCATTTTACTCAAGAACAGCAGCAAGTCACCACGTTCGGTAACATGCAAACGATTTCTCTTTTTAGTAAGCAGCGTTGTCACAGCACTAAAACCGCGTTCACACAAATATGACGATGGGAATGTTATCAAGAATCGTTGAAGGATTGACCACAATACAGGGTACAATTGCGGGATCGGTTTTTGTAGCCAAAATTCTTGCTAACCATTTTTGAACTTGATTTTTATTTCCTCGTTCGTTGTCAATTCTTGCAGTGTTGACATTTAAAAACGGACCCAACACCCAGCCTGGCATTTCCAAGTTTAAAATGTCCTGATATCGTTCGGTGAGGAGGTTTTCCAAATGTTGGCAGTAGGCAAACAAGTCGTTGTTACTACAGGATACTGATAAAAATAATAATAAGGAAAATTGTGAAACTCACGTCTGCCCATATTCTTTTTGTATAGAAGCAGTTTGGCTGCGAAAGCAGCAACGATATTTTTGTAAGCTATATCATTCTTTGATGTAATGAGCTTGTTGCGCAATTCTGTATCTTTAGTTTCCAAGAACTCTAACACAGAGTCAAACAGGTTGTAAAATCGAGTTAGACAATGCCTCTTGATAGACAACAAACTTCAGTATGAAACAACAAACGGTTGAAATCTTCGTCATTAGTAACACAAAGCTGATGAAATAATCTATCATTCAAAGAGCTGTTACGGATTTTGGTGACTGCTTTGATGACATATTGCTTCATTCATATATTCACTTAAATTTTTAGCAACCAAATGTTGTCTACGAATAACGCAATGTACAGCGAAGACATTTGGAATTTTATTTTTTAAGTACGCTATGAAGCCTTTGTGGCACCCTGTCATAGCCGGAGCGCCATTTGTAGCAACTGATATAATATTTTTCAAGGGAATCTCTTTCTCATCACAAAACTTTTCCAATGTATTGAATATGGTTTCGCTTTTTGTGTCGGTCTCTAAATTTCTAGTAAACAATAGTTCTTCACATATTTTCTCATCTTTAATAAACCTCACGTAAGACAGCAACATTGCTTCATTAGTTGGTAAAGTGGACTCATCGAGCTGAATTGAGAATTGACTAGTCCTCAGATGATTGCACAATGATTCTTCAATGTTTTCAGCCATTTCATCAATTCGTCTTTGCACAGAATTATTACTAAAAGGAATTTTTCGGATAATATCTGCGGCCGGTTTATGAAGCACAGTAGTAATTACTTCCTTTATTGCTGGCAAAATTAACTCTTCTCCGATGTTGTGTGGTTTGCCTTTTTGAGCAATTAACAAAGAGATATTGTACGAAGCCCGAAGTCCGTCGTCATCTTGCTTAGCAGCCGCCGAAAAGAGTTTTGCTACACTTGGCTGATTATTATGCTTCTTCTCTAGGTCTTGAAAATATTCTACATTCTTGTTTTTCTTATCTGGATGCATTTTATTCAAATGATCTTGCAGTCTTGAAGGTTTCATTCCTTCCTCCGAAAATGTTTTAAGACATAGGAGGCACAAAGGCGACGATGGGTTTGTGGGATTTTCAATGAATCCGAATTTAATATATTCCGCACAGCATTGCCTATTTCTTCGTCTTTTTTACTTCGGACATTGTT